CCGAATCAGTATTAGTCGAAACATTAACTACTGAAAATACTGAAGTTCCAGTTGCGAGTATAAATTTGATTGACTCAAGTACGACTGACTTAGATTTAGGTGATTTAAACACAGGCCCTTAGCAACCAATATTAAAGGTAAGTAAGATATCAACACAGTGGTATTAAAATAGAAGTTTTTTTTTAGTTTATACTTATTACCTAAGTATATTCTTATTTTTCTATATAAAAACTCCAATTATTTATTTTTAATAATCATGTAAGGTAACTACTTTTTTTCACCAGTTAAGACTTAAGATACAATTAAATTGATGTGTTTACTGTTTAATTTTTCTTAGGTTTATCCAAAAACTAAATTTGGATCTCAAAATACTGAAATAATATTTAACACAATTTTGCTAAATCCAACCGACGAATACAGCTCTAAAAATGTATTGGGCACATTTTTTTAAATAAAAATTTGTTCTATAATTATATTATTTTGTTGTTACTTATAACTTGTTGCTCTAAAGCCACACATACAGTATTAATAATTCCTATTGTTTTCCTAAAAGTTATGTGGTGTATAATTATAAATATAATTTTGACAACTATTATAAGTAGATGAAATAGCACATTTGAAAAAAATATTTAGTAAGTTTTATTTTCAGTCAATATTGTAATTAAGTAAGGCGTAAGCAGTATAATGTATAAGATATACTTATGTTGTACTAAAAAAAATGTTTAGGTGTTAAATACTTGTATAAATGCTTCATTCAGTACCTAGGGCTTCAGCCCCCCCAAATCTCAAACGCTATTTGCGCCTATGATATATATATAAGAATATATATATACAGAGATTTACCAGCATGCTCACCCTCGTTTTTTCCTTTAATAATAAATGTATTCAAGTTATAATATTAAATATATTTAAATAGACCATCATGTTATTTTAAATTGTATAGATTTCTATACCGCATTTAAGAAGTGTCCCGTGGCGATACACATTTATTTTTTTCAAATCAGACCAATATTTTTTACTGTTAATTGTTAGGCATATGATTTTTTTTTTATACCTATCACTTTGAACCTAACATTTTGTTTAAATTAAAGTTCTAAGGTATGTAGCAACTTGTATAGTTTAATTCACATCATTATAATAATAATTTACTGTATCGGTTAGGTAGTATTAAAATTAATAAAATACAAATTATAAATTGGTTCTACAATTAGAACCTTTTCATCCTAAAATAAAAAAAAAGGTAGGCAAGTGGGTGTCGCTCTGCTGTACAGTAGGTTACAAGTGGGTCACTGTATAATGGATGATATTAAATTTGAATTCAACGATATAATATCATTGTATAAGAAAAACGATTCTGAGGGGAGACGGTATGCCAGTCTAGGTATAAGACATATTATTTACATATCTATGGTAGGTACTAAACCAAAATTATTTTATTATTTCCAGTGGTTATAAATGAAAATTGCATTAAACACATATTATGCATAAATCCAATTTTTGACTTACTCTAACTTGGTCAGTTTTGAAAATAGAAAAAAAACTTTTTATACAATAAATGTTCTATGGTAGTAAGGCTCTAATAGACACGGCATAAAGAGCCCTATTTTTTTTTAGTAGTTGCAACTAATAGTTGTATAGTTGTAGCATAGATAATATTATTATCTATTTATGAGTTGTAGTCACCAGTCCGTGATTCACGAATGGATCTTCGGAGGAAAAAATTTTTTGTGTCCGTATATAATATTGCCTACATTTAGCCCCTTTTTTGCAGTTATCAAAATGTGATAACATTGATAAATCGATAACATAATTTTCATTATAAATTATAATATTATATTTTATTATATTAATTATAATTAAAATAATTAAATACATTAATAGTTAATAAGTTATTAAAAAACGCAATATCGTAATTTAAAATTTAAAAATACACAATTCATTGAGAATACAGTATAAATGTACAATCTATTTACGTGGAACATTGTTTTAAATTTTCAATCTTTAGCTATAAAAGTTAAATTATATAATACAATTTGAAATTTGAAATTCGAAATTCGAACTAATACCCAGATAGCAATTGTGTAATGATATTATTATTATTACAGTACACAAAAAAACATATTTTAAAACATTGCAATAAAATTATTGAATTACTTAGAAACGAATCAAAACCTATGCAAACAGAAGATATAAATAACATTCAACATAAAAAGAATATTGAAAAACAACCACGTTTCTTTACTAAAAATAAAAAAATAAACTTGAATTTCATCAATTGTCTTCCAGTGAAGGTAATATAATAAGAAAATCCTTACTAAATAATACAAGTGTTTTAAATGTTCATTCATATCACGATCATTCTTATAGCGCTAAAAGAAAATGAATTTCTTAATATATTGTTGAATTGTATCTTTTAAATGACGATCGTAACTGAATAATGAATATTGTGTTTTTTAGATTCTGAGTGAAACGATGAATGTATTGATTTTACAATGATGTGTGTTTTTATATTTATTTTTTTATTTTTTTATTTTTTTTGTGTCTGTGTACACGATAAGTAGTCGAAATAATGCTTCGATTTTCGACTTCAGTATCTTGTTCGATTGGAAAGTGAATATCGTTGGTGCATTGGGCAGGTCAAAATTTAAATTTCCCAGTAGTTTTCACAAGCGCCGGGAAAAACAACATAAAAATTAAGGAAAAACGGGAATTTTTACGCAAAATTGATTTTCCAAAAACTCGATTTTGGTTATTGGTGTAACTCTAAAACAAATGAACGTATATACATGAAATTTTCACTGGTTGTTTATATTTGCATTTTCTATACACGATAACATTTTCAAAATATTTTGAATTATTTTGAACTGTTTAGGGACATTTTCATTTTCCATTTTTTTTTAGTTTTTTTCCTAAAAATATCAATAAAATTGTATTTGTTGGTTGCGAAAGCTTGAAAATTTAATAGAAGGCTCCTAATATGTTGTTTCAAAGGCAGATGAAAAATATTAAAAATCCTTAGTCACAGTTTTTTTTTATAAGCATTTAAAGTTCAAAAATTGACAAAATATGAAAAACGCGAAAATTAGCAAATTATTATGAGTTAAGAATTCCTAAACATTTTTCTTTTTAAATCTAAGATTTTAAAATCTAATACAAGATTACTCATAAGATTGTCTACCTTTATTAATAAAACAATTTCTACCGGAAAGTCAAATTAAATTTTTATGAGCGTTTGAAATTCAAATTTTTACAACATTGGATATTCACTCGATTTCTCATGTGGCAATTTCCTTTTTTTGTTGTAATTAAAAAACGAATTACTGTAGATACATGACAATTTCACTGAATGTTTATATTAGCATTTCCTATACACCCTACAATTTTGAAAATATTTTGACACTTTTTGAGCCGTTTACGGACATTTTCAGTTTTCAATTTTTTTAGTTTTTTTTTTCTATAAATATCAATTAAGTTTTATCTGTTGGGCCAAAAAGTGTAAAAATTTAATACAAGGCTCCTGATATATTGTTACAATATCAGTTGAAAAATATTAAAAATACATAGGCACAATTTTTTTTTATAAGCATTTAAACATCGAATTTTGACAGAATTTTTCAAAATCTCGAAAATGATTAATCATCGTAATTAATAAATTATAAAATGTTCAGTTTTTATAGCTAAGGATTGAAAATGTAAAACAAGATTCCACGTAAGTAATTAATTCTCTTACCAAAAAATCTAAAAAAATATACAATCACAGTTTATTTTTATAGTCATTTTATGTTCAAATTTGGACGAAATTACATACTAAAAAACCTAGTTATTTTGTTGTGATTATATAATATTATTCGTGGGTACCTACTTGAAACTTCTAAAGTACACTATATTATATATCTATGATAGTATCAGGGTTTGTTATTGATGTATAACGTGTTATAAGTACCTAATGGATATTGTGATATGATTAATTTGGAATTTATTTTAGGTCAATTTTTTTTTTAATACCATTGATATGTATATAATTTGTCTTAAACCTAGACTAACATACCGTCTTCGCTCAGAATCGTTTTTCTTATACAATGATATTGTATCATTGAATTCAAATTTAAAAGCATCCATTATACAGTGACCCACTTGTAACCTACTGTACAGCAGAGCGACATCCACTTACCCACCTTTTTTTTAATTGTGTATTATTAAATGTATTAACTATTAATGTATTTAACTATTTTAATTATAATTTATAATGTAAAAATATTATGTTAGTTGGATAGTTATGTTATTATAATAACATTATTTTTATAACAATATTTGTGTACCATAATAATAATAATATCATTACACAATTGCTATCTGGGTATTAGTTAGAATTTCGAATTTCAAATTTCAAATTGTATTATATAATTTAACTTTTATAGCTAAAGATTGAAAATTTAAAACAATGTTCCACGTAAATAGATTGTACATTTATACTGTATTCTCAATGAATTGTGTATTTTTAAATTTTAAATTACGATATTGCGTTTTTTAATAACTTATTAACTATTAATGTATTTAATTATTTTAATTATAATTAATATAATAAAATATAATATTATAATTTATAATGAAAATTATGTTATCGGTTTATCAATGTTGTCACATTTTGATAACTGCAAAAAAGGGGCTAAATGTAGGCAATATTATATACGGACACAAAAAAATTTTTCCTGGGAAGATCCATTCGTCGTGATTCTTATATTATCTATGGGCTGGCTCCCCTGTTATCAGTTTGTCTTCTACCTCTTATCACGGTCGACGGCGGTTTTTTTGATTGTGTTGTATATTATTTTAAATTTCGTCCTGGATTCCGTGCCCTCGACCGTATTTTAATTGTTACAAATTACAATAATATCAACCAATATATTATATAATATTACTACTTGCGTTTCCAGTTCGATATTATTTATTTGGATTTTCGTCATCATCTCGTGCACTGTTGAACAGTTCTGTCTTCGATCATGTCGTCTAACCGCCCGCCGACTGTCGAAAGACTTCTGACGGCTTTTGATTGCATGCTGGTCGATGGTTTCGCGATACAAGACAAAACTCTGCTAGAAAAACTTTTGACAAGTCTGCAGAACGCGGGTAAGCAGCTGGCCGCTCGTATGTGCATTCTGGTGGTGTGAGCGAGTTAGTAAACGAGTCATTAATAATTTTTCAGATGCTCTTTTGAGTACTGTACCAATCAACGTTCACTGCAAATGGTTTGCCAGCGTTTTGGACATGTATCGAAATCAAACTCCAGTGTCTAGAAATGCTTGTATACATCTGTACGCTTTTGCCCTCAAGTACTTGGCCATATTGGTAAAAAGTGACGATGGCCTGGCCGCACTCATTGAGACACGCACTCTCCAATCAATGATTAATCAGCTAGACGTTGGGTCTGATCTCAAAGAATCTTCAATTTTTAACGCCTACATGTCGTTGTTGCAGACATTGAATACTCATAAACGGGGTCTGGAGTATGTTTTCCAAGAAGGTAAATCTTAAAGAAGCAACCTAAGCAACGGACTCATGTGTATAGCAAACATATTTCTTAACAGATAAAATTATCAAGAGGACGTGATACCCGCATGTGTTGTCTTTGTCTTACAAGTGCATAACATAGCAAATTATACGCAAAGCAGAACACGTGAAGCTTCGATAGCTTAAAAATTAGAGTAAATTGACCTCATAAAATCCAAAAGTAAGATTATTATCTAGACAACCTCATGGGCTTTTTATTATATTTTAATTTGAAAGCGAGCTATAAGTACTTTAAAATGTACAAACAATTTACAATTTTAAAATACTTATAGCTCGTTTTAAAATTAAAATATAATAAAAAGCCTATGAGGTTGTCCTAGATAATAATCTTACCTTTAGATTTTATAAGAGGTCAGTTAACTCTAATTTTTAAGCTAACGGAGCTACAAGTGTTCTGTTTTGCATATAATTTGCTATGTTACGCACTTGTAAGACGGAGACAACACATGTGGGTATCACGTCCTCTTAAGTCCTGTCAATGAGATAGGTATTTAAATGTATATTTTGACCCCTCTATAATGGATCCTTTCTATTTCAGACATTTACTCTATTTTACTATTTACTCCCCAATTCCTTAATAACGGACAACAATCTTAGTTAAAGTTCAAATATAATATTATATACACTTGTAAATACTACACAACAGCGACAATGCAGCACATAATTACATGTGAAGGCACAGATTTCAACACGATTTAGTGACTAACGACTAATGATTTAGATACCTAACCATAACATCTGTGATATATTATTATATTTATAATTTTGTATGTATGTATGCGTGTACCACCAGGTATATATAGATATGTGGTGTGTATTAATATTTATTATCACATTTTTTTCTTATAAATTACAATATTTTTATTAAAAAAATAAGTACCTACCTTTGTGAATTTGTCAAAAAAAAAAGATACTAAAGCCTATCTATAACAGACACTTTTGATGGTCACATGACTGTCCGTTATATACAGGTTTCACTGTTATTTTATTACTCAGAATGATATACATTATATTCCAATGTGTGCATATTATAACCAATACTTAATTAAATCACTTAGGTAAAACTAAAAATGTCAAGAAAATTGGACATAATATGTACCTATTGTATAGCTTTGTATGTTTATTTATAAAATATATATTAAACTAATTTCTTACTTTTTAGGTTTATGGAAAATTATACTTTTTGCTATTCATGGATTAACTGTACCAGCAAAATATGTTGAAATTCAAGCTAGTCAATATATTGCCGACTTAATTTATAAGTCATTTGACTATGAAATGGTGCATAATTGTGAACCTCTCCTTAAAGAACTATTTTATAATTTAAATTCAATTGATAATCTAATTGCCAATCATCAAGACGTAAAAGAATTTTTCGCCTATAATGTTTATGTAAAAACATTAATTTTATCTTTGGAAAAATTCATTGGAACCAAGTATGAATCTGTTATTGTCCATAAAATAATTAATAAATATTCTTTATCAGATGTATTAATGAATATTCAAAAACTATTAAATGTAAATCCTATCTTATTAAAAAACTATATGACGTTACATTTGATATTTGATTGTTTTACTGTTTGGCATAATTCTGACATGGAACATGTTTTAAAATCAATTTTTTCTCATATGAATATGCCAAAAAACATTCAATCATATAAACAAATTAACAACTTATATACACAAGCAATTAGATATGCGAACACCAGTAATGCACAATTAGCAGCTAACACAGTATTTGAAAAGGAATTAATTATTGGTCAGGTAATAAACATATTATTTTTAAGAATATTTGAAATCTATTAATATACTTAGATCATATCCTATAGATAGAGCCACAGTGTGTTAAATCAATACAAAAAAATGTAGCCGATATCGGTGACAAGTCACCAAAGTAGGTGTTTGATATGTGCATGCTCAACGTAACTTCTTGCATTTTTATCCACAAGTAAATTGTTATCAAATCATCATACTATATTGAAAAAATAGTATAATACCTACTATAATAATATAGTGATTACTATAATTATATAATTAACCATAAGGTAAGATTTAGAATAATTCTGTGATAGTAACCTATGGATAATTATGCGAGGAGTTGCATCATGCATGCGCACACCGATCACCTAATTCAGAGACTCGTTGCTAATATCGACTACAAAATATTACGCTGTGGCTACATCCATAGTATATGATCTAAATTCTAATTTAATATATAATTTATTTTATTATTTGTGTTAATAGTTGATACCTTTAAATAAATGTTCAGACTGGCTTCAATGTTCTAAATCTGAAAAATCAAAATATGATAGAAGTTGTATTATTGAATCAAACTACATTTTAAATTATTGCAATAATTATGATTCTATGATGAATGAAGTAGCCATTTCTTCTATACTCAACATTGTGGACATTGTTCCTATACTGAAACAAGTAATTTTAGTTATTATTATATATATAATATATAACATATAATAAAATAATAAATATAAATATGTTCCAACAGATCACGTTTAGCTATGTTAGTTTAAAAATTAGAGTAATCGACCTATATTGAAACTTAATAGTAAGAACATTATCTGTGTTTGTATTTGAGTTTTTTACGATAGCTACATTTTTTAGCAAGTTTTATGTACCGGGGTGAGCAAAAGTCACGCAACCAATTTGTAAAAAATGACGCAAAATATAAAAGGTTGTTTAACTTTATTATATAAACAAAAACAAATATATAGAGTTTAATTTATACTATATTTTTAATTTATACATGTTGTATGTTCAATATGACAACTGTCTTCATCAATACACGCTAAACAGCCGTTCTAACCGTTTGGCAGATGCGTTCTAGAAGAGATTTGTCGTCACTGATCACATCAAGTTCTGAAGCTGATCCAGAATTTTTTCGTACTGTGCTTTGGAGCGACGAAGCTATTTTTAAACTAAATGGGCGTATAAACCCACATAATTGCGTTTACTGGGCGTTTGAGAACCCGAATTTAGTTCTACAACAAGAACTAAATGTCCCGGGAATCATGGTTTGGGCTGGAATTTGCGCCCACATGATCGTTGGGCCGTATTTTTTTGAAAACGAAAAAGTAAATGGTACGACGAACTTAGACATGCTGCAAAATCTTAAAATTGAACTTGCAGAAAATCCAGTGTTTGCCGGTCATCAAATGACATTGCAACAGGATGGCGCACCTGCGCATTTCTCAGTCCAAGTACGAACGTTTCTCAATGAAAACTTTCCGGGATGGATCGGACGCCGCGGAATAGTTGACTGGCCACCACGGTCGCCGGACCTTACACCCTGTGATTTTACCTTATGGGGCATACTGAAGGACAGAGTATTCGCCCGTCGGCCATGTTCCATCAAAATTTTGAAAGCAGTCATCACGGAAGAACTTGATGTGATCAGTGACGACTAAGCTCTTCTAGAACGCATCTGCCAAACGGTCCGAAAGCGTTGTTTAGCGTGTATTGATGAAGACGGTGGTCATATTGAACATACAATATGTATAAATTAAAAATATAGTATAAATTAAGCTCTATATATTTGTTTTTGTTCATATAATAAAGTTAAACAACCTTTTATATTTTGCGTCATTTTTTACAAATCGGTTGCGTGACTTTTGCTCACCCCGGTATATAATATAGCGTAAATTAAAAATGCTCATAACTCACTTAAAAACAAAATTATCATAAAAAAAACCCACATACAAATACAGATAATGTTCTTACCATCAAGTTTCATAATAGGTTGATTCAATCTAATATTTAAAACAACAAAGCTAAATGTGATCGGCTGAAAGTAGATTTGCAATGTTACGCACATGTAATACAGAAATAGCAAATGCCCATGTTACGTCCTCTTAATACCCTGGGCTTAAACCAGAAGAGGTATTCTCAGTGACACTCTAAATTACTTAAAATCAAAATAGTAAAGAAATATAAATATGTACCTAACTATATTTTAATAATAATAGAATATTTTAGATTAGCTACTAGCTAGTAAATAGCTATTATTATTTATATTATTCCACATGATATTTGTTTAAAAATCTTTTTAAATAAATAGTTATTTTTGTATGGGTATTTTATTTCTGAAACGATTTCGTATAATATTATGTTTTTTATAGGTGTCATTGGATTACTTAGCCAATTTTTTTTCAACATTAACAGAACATTTTTTGAATTCTGACAATTGGTTAGAACAGTGTCAAGATCGAGATTCAATTTATAACAAATTTTTAGAAATATTGTCATACATTTTTATATGTTGGGCAAAAGTATTAGAATGTAAATTATTAACTGATATTGCACATGATCCATTGTTAGTGCCACTTGTACAGAGACATAGTCAGTTTTTTCATAAATCTTCCCACAATTCTACACTCTTACAGGTAATTAAAAATATCAATCTATGTATAATATAATATGCGTATAACATTATATTTTATTATACTATAATGCACTTAAATGCGTTTACAGAATGGTTTGAAATTAATTAGTACTGCATTAAATAAAATGAACAAAGAAAGTGTACAATATACTGATAATTTGGAAGATTTTGGAACACTGTGTACTACGCTTAATAATTTACTATTGGATACCAGACCTGAAATTCGAGATAGTTCTTTACAGTGTATAAGAAGCATAGTAAATGCTTCTAAATGCAGTTATGGTAAGTTAAACTAGCAATATAACCATTGTTTTTTTATATTATATAAATATTTGATTTTGATTTTAATCAGGGAATTTTTTTATCAAACTCATCTTGGAAAAACATTTGTCAATAGCTGTTTTAAATACTCTTAAACATGACAATGATCCATTTGTGAGATCTAAAGCTCTTGAATGTTTAGAAGAAATGGTATCTGTGTTAGATATTTGGGAAACATCTTTAAAAAAATCAGATTTAATTGTAAGTGTACATTCCAAGCTACAATTTATTATTTATTTTTTATTAAGTAATGATTGTTTATGTAATTTAGACACATTGTTTAAACTTAATGCAATATGAATCTGAAGGTATCATTAGAAGACAAATTATAAAACTCATCACTGCATTGTCGATTTATAATGAGCTCAGGTATGTTATCTTATATCCATATCATATAATAGAAATAATTTAGTGTTTACTGTTTACTATGGTATGTTGATGTATACAATGAAAGCCGTCTTAAACACCAGATTGGTATTGTGGTGACAAGTTTTCATCATAAACTAATAAATTATTTTAAGTAATTTAAATTATTAATTTATTTGATTTAGAATAAAATTTAAATATATATATTTTTATTAAGTATATTATAGTGAAAATAGTAATAATAATAATAATTATTATTATAATATACAATTGAATATTTTATTTAATATTTATTCATAATATGATAATAATATTATTTGTATATTGATAATTTCCAGTGATAATCTATTTAATGAAATATGCATCGTAATGGTACACATTAGCATCAAAGATCCGCTTTGGGAAGTAAAAACATTTACTTATGAATTTTGGAGTTCTGTTATTCATAAATTTATTGGAAAATCTAGTAAACAAAATAACACTGAAAGATTAAATGACAATCTTGTCAAACTAAGTGCAACAGGCTGCTTACATGTGAGTTGGTTTATAAAACACCTCTTTTTTAAATTTGTATTGAATAAATATGATATTGATAGTTAATATTTATAATTTAAAGAGCCCACAACAGAAAAAACATTTTCTTCAAATTATTATTAAATGCTGAATCATTGAAGTCAGAAATTTTAAAAACAATTTTGTCAAAAACCAATAAAAAAAAAAAAAATAATATTTTTTTTTTTTTATTATTAATTTTATCCCGCGGAAACTTAGGCCATTGGGAGGGGGGTTGGAACTGTAGGTTTTTAACGGTAGGTGAGTGTTACACGTGGGTGTATTTTGGCAGAATTTCGAATGGGGCACCCGTAGGTTTCTGCCATGCCCCGGAGTGGGGGATGGCGGCACTTGTTTTCCGGACACCGTGACTTGCCCGGAGAAAAATGCCGCCCAGTGGTCGAGAGTTGAACCCGCGACTGCCAGTGCCGCAGCCGACGCGTTTTAAAATAATATTATTTAGGGTCTTAAGGAGATATCTCATATGCAGAATAACCATGTGATGACCCTGGCCCGGGCTCGCCATAATCGACTATGTTACGTCTGTTCCAATCTAAACATTTTATTTTTGATGTTTGATTTTATGTACAACTATGTGATTTTTTGTGCTGAAGACAATAGAAGTATCAACATTTCAATATAATGTTTGGTTTGTTTTTAATAAGAAAAATATAAAAAAAAAATAATAGTAGGTATATAATAAATTATATAAAAATATATTATATTAAAAATACTAAATTTACACGTATAAGATAGGCAATTACCTCGAGCCAGGCCTATATCACTGGTCTTTTTTCAATTCTTCATTGCTCACTGAATAATGAGAGTAGAAACGATAAACCCACGCCATTATGCTTAGAATTGAACATTCTTTCAAATTAAAAAACTTAATTTTTGTGTTTTTGTGCTCCTTCAAAAATATAAATTATTGAAATAACAATTATGATTTAGGTTCTTTATGTTGCATTAAAAGAAGAACATGATTTGGTTGTACAAAAAAAAGCCATTTGTTTAACAAAAGAACTGCTTGTTTCTATAAGCTCTACTGATGATAATATGCAAGACTTTAATTTTAAACTAAAAAGTGAACCAGTAAATAGATTACACAATATTATTGATGGGAGCATTGAAAATTGTTCTGGTTCCATCCTAAAAAAATCCAGACAAATTGACTCAGCCGATAGGATTTTAAACTCTATTACAACATCGAGTGACTGTGAATTATTGCCAAGTCTCAAGTCTTTCAACAATAGTAATATTTATCCAAATGATATTTGTCTTCGTCAGAAAACTGATGTCTATTTGAAGATAAATGATTTTTTAAATTTTACTTCTACTTATGATTTTAATGACTGTGATGCTAAAACACAATGGGTTATATCTACGAGGTCTGGTTTGGATTCAATGTTGGATGACATAATTGGTCAATCACAAAATTGCTTCATTGAAGGAGCTGATCTTTTAGATTGTCATTAATTATATTCTGCATATTATTTTAAACCTAAACATATATTTTAATACTGTGTTCATATTATCATTTTTAGGATATCTTCATTTTTATAAGTATATTTTTAATTTTTGTCTTGTTTTATTCTACAAATGTATGAATAATTAATAGTGTTTTTTTCTTCTAATAATATGATTATTATTGTTTATTTTTTTTTTTTATTGTTTTTAATTACAGCTGATATATTTTTTCTTCATAATACTGTTTACTTAATAACTTTTAAGTCATTGTAACAATATAGAATTTATTTATTTATTATTATATTATATTATAATTTTATTGTTTTTGCAGTGTGGTATGTTGTTAGATTTGTTAATGAAAGGGGTAATCAAGAGGCAGTCGTCTCTGAGTTCCTTGAAGGGTTGTGGGTTGGACTATATTATTTATTTATTATTGAGTAGTAGTATATTATTTATTGTGTTTACTGCTTAGTTCCTACCAATGTTTGTATTCTTGAAAGTTGGAAGTAAGGTATAACTCACAATATGGAATAACCATTCATGGCATAGCAAGACCACTTAAGGTCCATTCCCGCTGCTCCGGGACGTGTCCGTGTCACTTTTTGGCACGTCCCGGTCGGCCCGGTCAGGTATTCACACTATTCAGTGCCCCGTCCATGTTAATAGAATATTTTGTCATCAGCTGATGTGGGACATCGAACTTAGACGTCCGTGAAGTTGGCACCCCCACTTTGAGATATCGACTTCAAACCAGTGCCAATATTTGCAACAATTTGCAACACCAGTTTTGAAATTTGCAACTTCACCCATTCTCCGGGAAATCCAATTTCCCGATGGGGGTGCCAACTTCACGTAGCACCCCCACTTTGAGCTATCGACTTCAAACCAGTGACAATATTTTGCAACTGATTTGGGTAGTGATGTCATACGCGATCTACCAAACTACTGGACCGATCTTGATTAAATTTTTTACACTGTGGGTAATTTGGTTCAGTTAAAAAGATGGGCTGATTTAAAAAGGGAGAAGACCAACCCTGGGAGGTGCTCAAATGGGAAATTTTTGTTTATAAATTGTTACCATGGGTTTTTAAGCTATTATAATAATAAAAAAAAAAAATATTTGCTTTACTTTTTACATATAAATTTTAATATAATATCTAACTATAAAACAGGGGCTCTGCTGTACAGTAGGTTACATGTGGGTCGATGTAATGGATGGTGTTAAATTTGAATTCAATGATATAATATCATTGTATAAGAAAAACGATTCTGAGTGAAAACGGTCAGTCGCCTATATATATCAGGAGCCTTGCATTAAATGTCAAGCTTTTTTACCCAACAAATAAAATTTTATTGATATTTATAGAAAATGTCCGTAGAAGCTCAAAAAGAGTCATAATATTTTCAAATTTGTATGGTGTATAGAAAATGAAAATATAAACATTTAGTAAAATTTTCACGTATCTACAGTTCTTCGTTTTTGAATAACAATAAAATAAGAAAACCCCTACATGGCTACATGAGAAATCGAGCGAATATCCAGTATTATAAAATTATGAACTTCAAACGGTCATAAAAATTAAATTTGATATGATTGTAGACATTTTTTTTTTTTGATAAAGGTAGATAAACTTGAGGAATCTTGTATTACATTTTCAAATCTTAGATTTAAAAAGAAAATTTTTATGAATTCTTAACTCAAAATAATTTGCTAATTTTCGTGATTTTTCCGTATTTTGACAAGATTTAAACTTGAAATGCTTATAAAAAAAATTGTGACTATGAATTTAATATTTTTCAATTGCTATTATAACAATATAGTAGGAGCCTTGTATTAAATTTTTAAGCTTTTTTACCCAACAAATAAAGTTTTATTGACATTCATAGAAAAAAAGGAGCGGTGCTGTACAGTAGATTACAAGTGGGTCACTGTATAATGGATGGTATTAAATTTGAATTCAATGATATAATATCATTGTATAAGAAAAACGATTCTGAGCGGAGACGGTACCTATGTCAGTCTATTTTTGATAGATTTATCATTTATGGTATTAAAAAAAATGGACCTATAATAGGTACCTATAATAAATTCCAAATTAATCATATCACCATATCCATTAGGCATTAGGTACTTATAACGAGTTATATATCAACAACAAACTCTGATACTATCATAGATATATAATAGTTTACTTTAGAAGTTTCAAGTACCCACGAATAAAAAATATTATTATACAATCACAACAAAATAAGGAACTAAAATAGTTTTTCTAGGTTTTTTTTTATGTAATTTCATCCAAATTTAAACTTAAAATGATTACAAAAATAAACTGTGCTTATGTATTTTTTAGATTTTTTGGTAACAGAATCTACTACTTACGTGGATCTTGTTTTGAATATTCAATCCTTAGATATAAAAGTTGAACATTTTATACATTTTTAACTACAAAAAAATTATTCAATTTAAAATTTGATAAATGTTGTCAAAATTCGATCTTTAAATGCTTATAAAAAAAAATTGTGACCATGCATTTTTAATATTTTTCAACTGATATTGTTACAATATATCAGGAGCCTTGAATTAAGTTTTTACACGTTTTGGTCCCACAAATAAAACTTTATGGATATTTATAGAAAAAAAACTAAAAAAATTGAAAACTGTAAATGTCCGTAAACAGCTCAAAGAGAGTTAAAGTATTTTTAAAATTGTATGCTGTATTATAGGAAATGCTAATATAAACATTCAGTGAAATTTTAATGTATCAACATTTCTTCGTTTTTTAATTGCAACAAAATAAGAAAATCAATACATATGAGAAATCGAGTGAATATCCAATGTTGTAAAAATTTGAATTTCAAACACTCATAAAAATTTAATTTGACTTTCTTATAGACATTTTCTTTTTGTTAAAGGTAGATAATTTTATAAGGAATCTTGTATTACATTTTAAGATCTTAGATTTAAAAAGAAAAATGTTTAGGAATTCTTAACTCATAATAATTTGCTAATTTTCGCGTTTTTCATATTTTGTCAATTTTTGAACTTTAAATGCTTATAAAAAAAAACTGTGACTAAGGATTTTTAATATTTTTCATATGCCTTTGAAACAATATACTAGGAGCCTTCTATTACATTTTCAAGCTTTTTTAACCAACAAATAAAATTTTATTGATATTTTTAGAAAAAAAAACTAAAAAAAAATGGAAAATGAAATAATCCCTAGACAGTTCAAAATAAATCAAAATATTTTGAAAATGTTATCGTGTACCTATAGAAAATTCTAATATAAAGAACCGTTGAAAATTTCATGTATCTACAGTCATTTGTTTTAAAGTTACACCAAAAACCAAATTCAATTTTGTGAAAAATGGATTTTGAGTAAAAATTTCTGTTTTTCCTAAATTTTTCTTTTTTTTTTTAAATTTTGACCTCCACAATGTACCAACGATATTCACTATCCAATCGAACAAGATGCTGAAGTTGAAAATCGAAGCATTATTTCGACTACTTATCGTGTACACAGACACAAAAATAAATAAATAAAAAACACACATCATTGTAAAATCAATACATTCATCGTTCCACTCAGAATCTAAAATGTGAAATGAAAAAAAAGAAGATCTGATAGATAAGTAGTTCCAGAGTTTAGTCTGTATATATAGTTATAGTCTGTGTATTTATATAGTTATATTTATATTATAAATTAATGTTTGAGGGTAGATTAGACCTCTGAGAAGAAGATAGGTTAATTTACAAAGGTTTAAATGTTTTTTTTTTTATTCATCGGATTTTAGTACGGTTAGGTTAGGATAGGATTTTGTATAAATTGATTATATTAATCCACCTTAGGTGGAATTAAGTAAAAACGACAAACTTGGTATAACTTTGATAGTGTAGAGTTAAATCATACACTACAAACAGCACGGGGACCGCGGTCTACCGCAGGTAGATTGCCTATACCTGATAATGTACTGCTGCGAATTAGAATTTTTATTCTGAGAAACGGAAAAGTTAAGATAAATGTTGAACACCATACACTCAATATTAAATAAGTAAATAGCGAATTGAACAAAGTTTGAGTCATATACCTATAGAGTTGATATACATTTAACGGGCAACGAAGTGCACGGGATCAGCTAGTTATATCTAAAGTTAAGAGGTCACACACATAAAGATTGTGCAAATTAAAATTTTTTTTTTTTAATAAAATTGTATTTGTTTATACGTAAATTAGTAATTACATTGTATATTTGTATATAATATTATAGAATTGAATGATTAAACAAAAAAATAACTATCAATTAATTAGGTAGGTAGGTAGCTAATTTAGTATTAACAATAACGTTATAACTTATAGATATGACTTATAGAAACATTATTAACTTATCATATTATTTTTAATTTAAACTGAAAATACTAAATTGTTATTATGAATTCTTTAACTAGTTTTCGACTATAGTTAAATTCTTACTTACTAAGTTATTTATAAAATTAATAAACTAGTCAAGTTAGAAGTTAATAAAACCGAACTTCTTACCTTAGACTTAGTTAGCTGTTATACGCGCATAATAACATATTACTATAAAATAACGTTAAATTTATTAATCGTATACATTTTAGTATTTTACGGTCGTCGGTCATCGGTCTGCGGCGAAGTTCTGAGGTGGGTGAGTCGTCATCGAGCGCGATATGGATGGGTGGCAGATAACACGTAAAATGTCATGTTTTTAAATTCCCAATAAAAATTTTCAGAATTTGAAACTTTTCATTTTGCTCTTTTAGAATTTTAACTTGATTTATATACCTATTCCACAACTAAAATTGTTAATTATACTTTATATCTCACCACCTTACTAAATTATATAATAGTGATTTATTACCTGTTACTGATTTATTTATTAAAATAAAATGTATACTAGTATACTTCAACCATATAGTATCCATCACTCTTTGATAGGTAATGAAAAGTTTCAAGACTTTTAATTTCAATGACCTTAGAAATGTTTTGAATTTCATGAAAAGTTTCACTTGAAAATGTTGAAACTTTTCAACCGTACAGCTCTGAATTAGGTGGGGTATGATGAGCGGCGAGCGCAGGTGTCCCTGAAACGCGATACGAGGACCACCACCAACGGATTTCGCGTTATCTCTAAGTACTCTCGTGCGCATTAGAGCCCATCACACCTGTTCTACCATACGTTTGCGTAGAACGACATCGTGCCTCTCTCTATCATCCCAGACAGCCACCGAATCTGCAGTCATTGTTTTTGGTCGACGACTGTCAAAATCGTAAATAATTATTTTTACATTTCTCCTGAACCGGCGGTACTGAGCAGCCCAGAAAATAGTTTTGTATACAATATAATAATATTAATATTACATGTCTATTCGTTCATCCGTCTGTCACATTCGCGCATTGACTATAGACGTATAGCTTCATTCGGCAGGCTCTCCGAACATTTTCAAATAGGATTGACGACATTCCGGTTGACATGTTGGACCCGACACTCGAGAGACTTTCGGCGTCTCCGGTAAGTGATTTATTCGTAGCCCGTTTCGTAGGGGACTGTTATTGTGAATGATGATGTAGTCGATATAGATAATTTTATCATTTGTTTAATGTATATATAATACATAAATATGATTTATATAATATGAATCATAATAGTTCCACCTATTCGTAAGCTGTTGCAGTTTTTAATGCAACCGGTTGTTGCAGTATTCACTGCAACGGGCAACCGGTTGTTTCGGGTGGGTCACTCTGTGTTTCTTAGCATCTATATTAGAGATCTTAGCTGAACAATGCTGGTGTCTATTTAGTCATCGACTGCTATTTTTTAGGTGCGTGACGCTGGCACCCGCAAGTTTGAATTTCAACTCAAAAACCACATCAGTAATTGTTATACAATTTGTACAAATTTGTAACCACAATTCCAAAATTTGTACACAACCCCCCCCCCCGTCACCCGTAAAATCCAAAAACGATTTCCGGGTGCCAGCGCTACACCCCACTTTTTGTACTGTCGACTTTTTGACTCCAAAATGGTACCAACGATTGTTATTTCATTTGTACACATTTGTAATCCTAACTTAAACATTTGTACACCTCCCTGAATGTCCCAAAATTAATTTCAATGGTGCTTACTTCAAGCTGCCCCACGGATTTTTCCTATCGAATCCAGACCTCTTCTAAAATGTAGTAACAATTTAGACATTTAGTAACTAATTGTATCTGACATCAAACAATTTGTAACCAAACAGTTTCCGATAAAACTCAATTTCCATTTCGGGGGCCTAACATTTTATTAGGTTACAATATCTGATACAAGACTTTTTGACAATCTTCCAATTATATTTGACTTCAAACATGTTTATGAAGATTATTTTTTTTTGTGTGTCTGTGTACACGATAAGTAGGTAGTTGAAATAATGCTTAGATTTTCAACTTCTGTATCTTGTTCGATGGGAAAGTGAATATTGTTGGTGCATTGGGGAGGTCAAAATTCCCAATAGCTTTCAAAAGCGTGGGGAAAAACAGCATAAAAATTAAGGAAAAATGGGAATTTTTACGGAAAAACGGTTTTCCACAAAATTGATATTGGTATTTAGTCTAACGTCTAACTCTAAAACAAATTAAATTTTCACTGGTCGTTTATATTTGCATTTTCCATACACGATAAAATGTTCAAAATATTTTGATTTGTTTTGAACTGTTTAGGAACATTTTCTGTTTCCAATTGTATTAGTCTTTTTTTCTATGAATGTCAATAAAACTTTATTTGTTGGGTATAAAGCTTGAAAATTTAATACAAGGCCCCTACTATATTGTTACAATGACAATTGAAAAATAATAAAAATCCATCACAGTTTTTATTTATAAGCATTTAAAGTTTAAATCTTGCCAAATACTGAAAAATCACAAAAATTAGCAAATTATTTTGAGTTGAAAATTCATAAAAAATTTTCTTTTTAAATCTAAGATTTGAAAATGTGTCACAAGATTCCTCATAAGTTTTTCTACATTTAACAAAAAAAAAAAAAAAATGTTAAAAGCAAATCAAATTAAATTTTTAAGAGCGTTTGAAATTCATATTTTTACAATATTGGATATTCACTCGATTTCTCATGTAGTGATTTTGTTATGTTATTGTTATTCAAAAACGAATAACTGTAGATACACTATGACAATTTTACTGAATGTTTATATTTTCATTTTCTATACAGCATAAAATGTTGAAAATATTTTGACTCTTTTTGGGCTGTTTACTTTTTTTTTCTATATAAATATCAATAAAATTGTATTTGTTGGGTAAAAAAGCGTGAACATTTAATGCAAAGCTCCTGATTTATTGTATATAATAGCAGTTTAAGAATACATGAGCACAATTTTTTTTATAAGAATTTAAAGTTCAAATTTTGACAAAATTTAATAATTATTTTGTAGTTAAAAATTTATAAAATGTTCAACTATTATAGCTAAGGATTGAACATTTAAAACAGGATTCCACGTAAATAGGTAAATGTTATATTCAAGATATACCTAGGTAGGTACCTACATATTAAATATAATTTTTGCATAAAAATAAGAAAGATGGTAAAAGTTATAGGTACCTATTTAATTATAATTAATAATTATATTATTCAGTACCTACATTTAATGGGCGCCCGGGAATTGGGCCACAATTCACCTTTTTTTCCATAGGTATACGGTAATTGGGCCACCAAAATTTTATATTTATTACAGGTAGGCCCGGTAATTGGGCCACTATTACATTTTAAATTGTAATAAAATAATATTTAAGAGGATGTCAGAGCACTATTTGTTTACTCTAAGATTACTTAAAATCATAGAAAAAATTATTCTGCTTAAATACGTTTTGTCTATGTTGCGCGTATACATATTTTTATATAAATTGATACAATTCCTAATACTGCAGCGCACACGAAACTTTACTCGAAGCGACTGCGTATGCCTTATCAAAAAGTAATAAATTATCCAATATCTTAGGATGTTGAATTATCAATTGTCATCAAATGAAATGGATAAGAATAGTCATACGCGTATAGTGTGCAAAGATTATGAAACATTGTAAATTGTGATCGTTTAGTTGATTAGCAAACTATACGATCGACATCTAGTAGTACAAGCGTGGTTCGTAATATAAACTTAGGTACAATGGAAGTGTTAATGTCCGAAAGAGGAAAAAAATTATTAATTTTTAATAATTATAAATTTTCTTTTGCTCATGAGAGTCAATGTGGCAAAACTCGTTGGCGATGTGCCAAGAAAACATGTCCAGCCAAAATGTATACAATTTCAAATAATATACGCACATGGGTACATAGGTACTCGAACTACAAAATATGCCGTCGAGTCTTTTCATTCACATTTCAAAAATAATTTCTATATGTCACATCCAAATATATACATAATTTTTTAAATGTTTTATTGCAACTTCAATCAGAAGTTTATATTAAGATAAAAAGTATTGGAACAATAAAAACAAGAAAACGAACTTTAGTTCGACAAAATTTTATTCTTAATAAAATTAAAAAATATGAAGAAGGGGAAAAAACCCGATTTGAATAATATGTACAATCTGTATCATGTTATTTAAAAAAAAATTATTATATTAGAAAAAAATTATTTATATTTTTATAATATTTATATATTTATTTATATTTGTAAAATGAGTATTGGCATTATTTAAAAAAAATATTAATTATTTGACGAATTGTATTTTTATATGTTAAAACATTAATAATTAGTTAATAAACATTATTATATATTCGTATAATCGTATTAATAGTATATTTGTGTGCTATACTTTTATGGCCCAATCTCCGGGTACGCTTTAAAAATATAGATTTAATTTGTGGCAAAATCTCCGGGTAGTAAAATGTAAACAAATATTTTATACAAAACAGGTAGTTAAAATTTGGCCCAATTAACGGGCGCCCCATTTAATAACATTAATTTAAAACAAAAAACATAAGATAGTAGGAATGCAATAAAAGGTTTGATTACGATTATAAATCGTTTTTTAATTTTACGGGTGACTGGGGAGTGTACAAATTTTGGAATTGTGGTTACAAATTTGTACAAATTATATAACAATTACTAATGTGATTTTTGAGTTGAATTTCAAACACGCACCTCCATTTTTTCCATTTCAATGCGTAATCGATTTCAATAGTGAAAAACTAAGAGAAGTTTATGCGACAGTGTGACTCGAGGTCGGAAAAAAATAATTAAAAAATACCTATATATAACTTTATAAGTAACTTAGTTCACTCCTATCTATTGTGATCTATAATTATCTATATATACATCATTTTGTAAGTTGCAAATAAATATAGAAATATTATATTTCAGACAAACTATCTTGAAATAAAAATAAAGAAAATTACTTAATAGTAGGCAATACTCATATATTAAATGTATGCTATATAATATAGTATATTGACTTACTAATTGTTTCACAACAATTTGCATATTATTATCAGATGATAAGAATTCGTTATCGGGCCCGAAAAATTGAGTATTTCCCAAACTTTTCTAAAAAAAATACGGCAGTAGGTAGCTTCAGAAAATACTGAGACAAAAATAAAAATAATACCCAGAACTGTTTTTCACCTGGTTATTAGCTAACTGCAGAAGTTACTAAGTGAATAATTTGTAGTATAAATAGGATTGAAGTGAACGAAACAATATAAAGTAGACACACGCGACTGGCGACTATATATATAAGTACGAGTAAAAAAGTGCAAGATACATCTTAATATTATAATGATGTTTATTGTTAATTATAAACCTCCATTTCACTTCCGTTGTATAAATGGACACTGATAAATAAGTGATATTTAAATAGTGATTGCTGATATAATAAAGCTGATACCTATTGAATAAGCGCGTTGAAATAAAATGTAAAAAAAGTAAATTTTCTACTACGAAATGTCATTAAGTAATCATACTGTACATCTAACACACTGATTTTTTCACAGAATATATTTCCATTGAAAATAAAAATAGGAAAATAATATAATATAGGTAGTTAAATGAGTTGAATATTATGTCATCAAGAATATCAATACAATTACATGTCTATAAGACTTATACCTACCTATATTGTATTATACATTTATACTTATATTATACCTACCGTATATGGTCTATACCTACTATATACTCACCTTAAACCTATATATTATATAATAATATATTATAATCTGTATTATAGTACAACATACATAATATTATTATAACTTATAAGGTAATATGCATATATATGTATAAAGTATAGTATTACTATCTTAAGTCATTATTTGGGTTACATATAGGTACATATAAATATGATAGCTAGCCGCTAGGGTATATTATATCATTGAGTACTAGTGTCTAGTATACATTGTATACAGTACCTATAATATACCTACTCAAAAGTCAATGATAATATAATATTAGTTCAGTCAAATTAGACAAAGAATCTACAAAGATTGGAACTAATTCCTCGAAACTTAAGCACAATCAGTCCATATCTTATACTGATTAACACACTAAAAGTCCCCAGACATATCCCTTGTGCATAGCTCTCCATCCCTTAAAAAGAAGGTGCGTACCCTCTTTTCAATTTTACATTATAACTTGTTAAATTTTGAACTTACGGCTAAAAAGCATAGAACAAAAATTAAAGGCCCTAAAATTGTCCATAGAAATATGTCAGTCTGCATACTAAAATTATCAAGATTATTATTTAGTTATCAGATATTTTAAAATATTGAAAATGCTAATGTTCATCTTTTTATAAACGTTTGAAGTTAAGATCTTGTCAAAATTCGTAAGAATCACGAATATTTGACAGTTGTTTTGTAGTTAAGAACTTAACAAATTTTTAAGTTTATTAGCTAAGTAACCGTGTCATAAGTATCCAATTCTAGTGATCAGTTAGTTTAATTTTTGAGTGACTGATACATCGTACATTTGCAGTCATAGGCGTATCTAGGGTGGGGGGGGCTTGGAGGTGGGCTTAGCCCCTTAGTGTAAATATTAGCCCCCCCCAGAATTATTTGTTTTTCATTTAGTTTATAGTGTTTTTTTTTATTATTATTATTAATTGTTTTTGCAGCCCCCCCAATATATTTGATCACCCTACGCCTATGTTTCAACATTTGTACCTCCCAGTACCTATTAACCTATGTAGCAATGTTCCATCAATAAGAGCGTAAAAAAAATCTGAAACTAAAAATCTATAAAACTAAAATCAGTTTACACTAGACAAAATTGTATGGAATTTTCTATTATTTATATTTCATTCGATACACCGTATAGAAAATGATAAAATAAACATTTTATGAAAAATGAAAGTACCTACGGTCATTAGTTTTTGAATACCAACAAAATAAGAAAATCGTTCTATTAGAATTCGTTAATTTACAGGTGAATATCCTATATCTAACTGAAAAAGCTCAGAAAAAATTAATCAGACATTCCGGGATCATTAAATATCAAATACTTGTTGTGTCTATGGGTTTATTTTTGTATGCACTGCCCATAACATAGAGTCATAATATATCGATTTTAGAAAGTATATATTTCAAGATCGTAAACAGAAAATAGCAAATCAAACTTTGAGGAAACCGATACCCACCAATCATGTAAAGGCAATCTCTATTTTTGCTTCTTCTGGGGATAAATATTAGAAACCAAAACAACATTTAAGGGGCCTGGTCGCGACCTGTTTTTTGCTCAAAAACATGCCTTACAGGAAAAACTCTCACGCCTTGTAGATTTGTCCGATTTCCGTAATTTTTTTTTTGTTAAATAGAGAAAGACGTATTGCAGGGCGCATTGGACTTGGATTTTCAAAATTATTTTTCGAAATCTTATATTACAAGTTTGAATTTAATCCATTTTTACAACTTTTTAGTTTTTGTATTATTATTTATTTTTAGCAACGTAATCAAAAATCAAAGTCCAATGCGCCCTGTAAAAATATTCTTCTATCTAACAAAAAAAAATTACGGAAATCGGACCAATCTACGAGGTGTGAGAGTTTTTCCTGTAAACTGTGTTTTTACCGATATAATACACCCTATCAACCCCCCCCCCCTAAATAGGTATTGGGTAGTAGATTTGTGGAAAAGTCTTATAATTGAGGTGGCAACTAAAATATAAAATTTAATTTTCAAATTTTAAAGAATTGCGGATAATTTGAAAAATCGCGACCAGGCCCCTTAAGCTAATTCCCAATTTTGGAATTTATTTTTTGTAATCAACTACTAGAGTAATAATTGATTATATGTTTGAATGTGCCAACCTAACCAATTTGTGCCAAGTGAAAAGTACAAGTCATAATTTTACAATCGGGATAAAAATGTATTATAGCATTGTGGATGGATATCTCAAAATCAATATGAAAGTATGGAACTCTTTAGTTTTTTACTAAACATACTTAGGATGAAGTATGAACACAGAGATTTTTAGTATATTGATATCCACATACTCTTTAAGAAATAATAAAACTAATAAGCTATCGTAGGTCCTAGGTAGGTACAAATTGTTTTGATAACACATTAAATACAATAAATAGGTTTAAAAAAGTTTTAACATAATATACAAATGGGCTATACTCAAAACCGAAGGAACAATTAAAATATTTCATATCAACATAAAAAATATCATAACGACAAATCAGTTATAAAATAATTGCTACTATAATAATATTTAATTGTCAAGTGCAGGTCAAGTAAAAATATTATTTCACTAGAAGTACTATTACAACAATATAGAAGTGCCTGAAATGAAGTAAAACCGAAAAAAATATTAAATTGATGATGGACTTGAGATGATCACAAATTTTGTTAGTTATATACTTATATCAACTTATAAGTTATTACCATTTTATTATTTGAATGCAATTGCTTCGTCATTGAAAAGATTATTAGAAACAAAATAAGTATTTCAGTATTTGTTATGTGTTACATGTTATAGCCTTTTTTATAGGCACTGTTATTATTCTAGATTTAAATTAATACAGTACCTACCTAAGTATTAAAATATTATGGATTCATACTATTACATTTTGTGATTTGTATTATATCAAGACACATACTTTCTAAAATAGGAAAATAGAATATTAATGTATTGTTTTGTGATCTAATCAAAAATTATTAATAATAATAATATTGTTTTTTTTCCTGACTTTAGTTATCTGTATTGTTGTATGTCCCATTGCTGCTACAAGTGACGGTGATTGTAGTTTCTGGTCAAGGACAGGATGCGACATCGGGTCAGTGTAAATGTGTACCATACTATTTGTGCGGAAACGGAACGATTGTTACGAGTGATAAAGGATTAATAAGCCCAAGGTACGTATGTCTTATCACTATAATTGTATATTCACCAATAATAGGACTAGAATGACATAGAATTTTCTAAGTTGGGTCTGTGGTGTGATTTCAAATGTCAACACCATTTGATGTTAAAGAGACTACAATCGTTCATACCATTTGTATGCATTTGTAACTTTTAGATTCTAAGCGTAGTGAATGAATGTATTGTATTTACTACATGATAAGTGTTTTTTTTTCTGTCATCGACATTTGGGGTAAAAAAAGCTCCGATTTTTGACATCAGCATCTTTTCTGATTAAATAGTGAATGTAGTTGGAGCAATCAGCAGATAAAAATTGAAAATGTCCAATAGTTAAAAAAAGCGTTGGGAAAAACAAAAAAAAATAGTACTTTTTACACAAACCCATTTTTAAAAAAAATTGATTTTAATCTTTTGGTGTAACTCAAAAGATAATAACTTTCGACGCTTGAAATTTTCAACAAATATTTAAATTAGTATTTTTCAAGTAAATAAACAGACAACTGAACATATTTATGTATTTTTTAATTGAATTTATGGTTCTGTTAGGCATAAATGAGCATCTTTGAATTTAATCTACAGGTTTAGAAGAGATTTAAAGTGCCCTGATATCTTGCACGTGTGCTGCTCTGAATCAATGATATTAGAAAAGCCTCAAGAAAAGGATATGATTATCGATAAGATGATTTGGGAAATGTTTCCTACACCTAAACCTCGAACCACGTCATCGGATATGTGTAAATGTGTACCATACTATTTGTGCGGAAACTTTATGATTGTTACAAGTGGTAAAGGACTTATAAATCCAAGGTACGTATGTCTATTATCGCTATAATTGTATACTTATAGGACTAGAATGACATAGAATATTCTAATTTATTTTGGCCTGTGGTGTGATTTCACGTGTTAACACCATTTTATGTTAAAGAGACTGCAAACATTCATACCGTTTGTAATCTGATAAATATATCAACCGCTAACAAAAACAAAGCTACATAGTTTTGTAAAAAAAAAAAAAATAATGTAAATAATATTAATAAAGCACACTGCAACCACAAGTCTGGTAGTGTAGTATACTCAAGTAATCTTCATATTATATTGACTATATTGAACTACTTAATAGTCGGTATGAATTTACATTCAATACATAACATATTGAATTTTAGGTTCAGAAGAACCCATTTTGATGTGTTATTATAGATTATAGGTGAGGCTTGATGATTTTACAATGATGTAAGTGAATTTTTTTTTGAATGGGTTTTAAATGTAGAATTCAATTTTTATAATAAAAATATTCTTCAATTTTCGACTTCAGTATTTTATCTGATAGGAAAGCGAATATACTTGGTATTGGGCCGGTTGAAAAAGTAAAAATGGATTATTACGCGAAACTAGTTTTAAACTTTTATATTCTGAGCGTAAAGAATTAATAATGTATTGTATTTACAACGATTTGTATTTTTTTTCTGTCATCGGCCTTTGGGGTATTAAAAAAGCTTCGATTTTTGACATCAGCACCTTTTCCGTTAAAAGGTGAATGTAATTAGTGCGTTCGGGAGGTTAAAATTGAAAATTCCCAGTAGTTTTAGAAAGTGTTATAAAAAAAACGAAAAAAAATGGTACCTAGTTTTTACGCAGACCCAATTTTTGGAAAAAGGTGAGAAAGTGGATGTCGCTCTGCTGTATAGTAGGTTACAAGTGGGTCACTGTAATGGAGCCTATGATACTACCAAGTATATTTGATAATATTATTGTGAATAAAGTAATTTATACATAGGTAAACTATTTACGTGGATACGTGGAACCTTGTTTTAAATTTTCAATCCTTAGCTAAAAAAGTTGAATATTTTATACATTTTTAACTTTAAAATAATTATTACATTTTAAATTTGATAAATTTTCTTAAAATTTGAACTTTAAATGCTTATAAAAAAAAATTGTGCATATGTATTTTAATATTGTTCAACTACTATTATAACAATATATCAGGAGCCTTGGCAGCCTTGCATTAAACTTTCACGCTTTTTCACTTAACAAATACAATTTTATTGATATTTATAGAAAAAAAAACTAAAAAATTGAAAACTGACTGTCCGCAAACAGCTCAAAATGAGTCAAATTATTTTCAAAATTTTATCGTGTATAGAAAATGCGTAAAGAAAATCGTTACATGAGAAATCGAGTAAATATCAAATGTTGTAAAACTGTGAATTTCAAACGCTCATGAAGATTTAATTTGACTTTCTTCTAGAATTTTTTTTTTATAAAGGTAGACAAACTTATGAGGAATCTTGTATTACATTTTAAAATCTTAGATTTAAAAAGAAAATTTTTATGAATTTCTAACTCAAAATAATTTGAAAATTTTCGTCATTTTTACTTATTTTGTCAATATTTAAACTTTAGAAGCTTATAAAAAAAAATTATGACTATGGATTTTTAATTTTTTTTATCTGCCTTTGAAACAATATACTAGAAGCCTCCTATTACGTTTTTAAGCTTTTTTAAATAACAAATAACATTTTATTGATATTTATAGAAAAAAAAATAAAAAAAATAGAAACCGAAAATGTCCGCAAACAGCTTAAAATAAGTCAAAATATTTGGAAAATGTTATGGTGTATAGAAAATTCTAATATAAACATTCAGTCAAAATTTCATGTACTTACGGTCATTTGTTTAAGAGTTGCACCAAAAACCAAAATTGATTTTTTCGAAAACAGATTTTGTGTAAAAATCCCTTTTTTCCTAAATTTTTCTTTTGTTTTTCACGGCGTTTTTGAAATTTTAACTAGATTCACTTTCCTATCAGAAAAGATACTGTTGAAGAAAGTCCAAGCACTTTTACTGTCCTAAAAGGTGATGGCAGACACAAAAAAAAAAATTAAAAAAAACACACATCATTGTAAATTCAATAAATTCATCGTTTCACTCAGAATCTAAAATTCTTTTTGTGTAAATCAAATACTTATAATTTTAGACACGAGATTTGCACCAAATATTTATATTAGTGTTTTTCTTGTATACAAACAGGTAACTTAATATATTTATGTATATGTATTATGTATTCTCTGAGTGCATTCTTCGTTCTGTTTGGCATAAATGAGCATATATGCATTTATTCTACAGGTTTGGCGGAGATTTAAAGTGCCCTGATATCTTGGAGGTGTGCTGCAATGAATCAATGAAATCAAAAGAGACCTCAGAAAATGATGTGAAAAGGAAGAATCTCGATAAGGCAATTTGGTCAGTGTTTCCTACACCACCACATCCACCACCACCATCAGATCGGTGTACATGTGTACCACACAATTTATGCAGAAACAAGAGGATTAAAATAGCAACTATTATAGACATTAGGTATGTCTTATCACAATAATTTTATATTTATAGGACTAGAATGACATAGAATGCTCTAATACCTAGCTTAAGTCCTGTCTTGATACTGGGAAAATCAGTAACTACAAAAATATCAAAAATGAGGTTTTGATATTATAATAATATTGTTAATGACATAGTTCTGAGTATTTGTATAAAGGTTAAATACAGAAAAACTGACATCTAGTGCCTTAAAATTCAATATTGAAATGTATCTACAGTACATTTGCAAATTTCGCCCTTTTCCTAGACTAAAATGTAGTAGTTAACAACTCCTACAATTAAAATTCTTATTTCTTTTCAGTCTTACAATTTGCTTTGTTCAGATCCGTATGCACCAACGATATACCATCGTTGATACGATTGTACAAACTAAAAAGGTGGGCAAGTGGGTGTCGCTATGCTATACAAGTGGGTCCCTGTATAATGGATGATATTAAATTTGAATTCAACGATATAATATCATTGTATAAGAAAAACGATTCTGAGCGGAGACGGTATGTCAGTCTAGGTATAAGACATATAATATACATATCTATGGTACTAAATCAAAATTTGACCTATAATAGTACCTATTCAAAATTAATCATATCACAATATCCATTAGGTACTTATAACGCGTTATACACCAACAACAAACCCTGATACTATCATAGATATATAGTTGTTTGGGCCGAGACCGAAACAACGATAGTTCGTGTGCCCGGCACCGAAATACTTCATGCGCAAGAACACTCACACACCGACCGGTTTGTGTTGCGTATTAATATGTGTATGGCAGCTCAAGAGTAGTGGACGGGATCGCCGAGCAAATACTATGAGTGCTAGGTAATGTGCGGTGTGTAAGGTGTGTATGTGTATGTGTGTGTATGCAAATAATGTCAACACAAATTCAATGTTATTGATATGATATAATAAAACGCTTTCAAATAATACAAAATAAATAAAATTATAGCCAATAGGCAAAAACAATATAATAATATTTTATAACAATCTATTTGAGCCGCTAAGAACTATATAAAGATGGCCAAATAGTTGATAATAAGAAATAACTAGCTATTTGAGCTGTAATATAATAATAAATGTATAAAATAAACTCACAATTTGACGGAGCGCCGCTGGCCAGCTGCTACCTGTACTGTATAATGATAATAAAATAAACGCACACCTTGCGCTGACAAATAATAATAATGACAAATAATTTAAAAAACACAGTGGCGATTCGCGCCTACACAATAATTGCACGGACGTACGGTTTAATAATTATAATATGTAAGACGATTTGCGCCTTACATAAGAATATTACAAACTTGGCGATTCGCGCCTGAACTTAAAACAATATAATATCGAACCGGCGACCGGTACTCTCGCTAATGATATTGTGTCTTGATGACATCGGTGAGCGCACTGATTGGATTGCGGCGGCCGTGTCATATAATAATAAATACGCAGCCGGCGCGGCGGCGGCGATAATTTACATAATATTATATAATAATTCACAGTTGATACGGACAATTAAACAGAAATAAAAACAATAATATAAATATATAGGAACAAACAGGTAACAGGTATGTGATTGCATTAGTGTGTGCATGAGTCGGTGGTGGTATAAGCGGCCTCACATATCAACAATAATGTTGCTGCATTTCGGGCGGCAACATTTCTCCCCCCGTTGAAAAATTATTTATTTTCAACTTCTTTCCGATGATACTTCGGTAGGCAGCGCGCATAGCTTGACTACAGGACGCTTTATCTCTGATCCGGATCCAACTCGCAATGTGACTACTCTCACAACGCCATCCTTCCCAGGGTGCGTTTTGATCACTCTTCCCAATCGCCATTTTGCTGGTGGCGTGCATTCGTCTTTTATGATGACTATATCGTCGATGCTTAGTGGAGGCTTGTTACTTGTCCACTTGCCACGTACTTGGAGTTGTGGCAAATATTCCTTATGCCATCTTGTCCAGAACCCTTGCATTAATGCTTGAACATACTTCCATCGACGTAGATGTTCTATTCGCTCGTCTGCTAAGCTGGGCTCAGGCGCTAATAACAAAGATCCACCAATTAAGAAATGAGCTGGAGTAAGGGCATTAGGCTCTGAAGGGTCGCTTCCTAGGGGTGTCATTGGCCTCGAATTAACACAAGCTTCAATTTGGCAAAGCAGCGTATTTAGCTCCTCCAAAGTAAACCTGCCATCTTTTAGCACTCGTGTTAAGTGATACTTCGTCGACTTCACTGCACTCTCCCACAAGCCGCCAAAGTGGGGCGCTGAAGGAGGGTTGAATCTCCACTCTATCCCTTCACTAGCCATGCTTGACTCGCAGTTGGTTAGATATGATACCAACTCCTTCTGCGCTCCTACAAAGTTAGTACCGTTATCACTATGGATTGTTGAGCACTTTCCTCTTCGTGACATGAAACGTCGTAATGATGCCAAAAATGCTCCACTCGTTAACCCGACGACCGGTTCTAGGTGAATGGCCCTTGTGGAGAGACATATGAAGACTGCAATCCATGCCTTTATTCCTGTTTGCCTCCGTATTCCACTTCTTATCATTAAAGGCCCGGCGAAGTCTACACCGCTGACAGCAAATGGTCTAGTAGGGATTACGCGTTGTTTTGGTAACGGAGCCATTAGAGGAGATACAAATCTTGGTCTTGCTCGAACACAGGTCACACAGCGTTTCGTGACAGACCGAGCCATGCTTCTACCTCTGATTGGCCAATATCTTTGTCTAATCTCTGCTAGTAATGCTTGAGGCCCGCAGTGAAAAAGTGTCTGGTGAGTGTCTTCGAAAATTAGCCTGGTAATTTTGTGGGTTGCAGGTAACACAATAGGATGCTTTTGATTTTCTGCAATTTGGGCGTTGGCCAGCCGTCCTCCAACTAGTATTAAGTTTTCACCTTGGAGCATCGGATGTAGTCCCTTTAATTTACTACGCCCTGATACTTCCTTGTTTTTGCTCAGTGAGATATATTCTTCATTGAATTCTTGCAACTGTGCTTGCCTTATTAAACCAGTTTCGGCTTTCTTCAAATACGATACACTTAAATACCTTGTTGTAATACCGATCTGCCTTGTTCTTCGGAAATCTATAAACTTAAGAAACCAGGCGACGGCTCTCACTAGTCGACGCCAACTTGAGTAGTGTTCGATTAATCCCATTGACTGATCCATCGTGGTGAGTGCGAGCTTAACCACTCGTCTTTCTGGCAATGTTTCTTCGTCTGGTAGTGTGGTGACTGAATGCTCCCAACCATCATTGCTGTGGCTCAACCACTGTGGTCCATTCCACCATAACTCAGAGACTTTTAGCTCTTGTGCCAATACTCCTCTGGATAGTATGTCAGCTGGGTTGTCTGCAGTCCCTACATGCTTCCATTGTTGTGCATTGGTCAGCTCGAGTATTTGATCTACGCGATTCGCGACGTAGGTTTTAAATCTAGTTGCTTCACTTTGGATCCAACCCAATGCCACCGTGGAATCTGTCCAGAGGTGAAAATCCTTGACATCTAATTCCCATGCTGCTGCTACTTTTTCTGCCAACTGTGCTAACACCAGAGCGCCTCCAAGTTCTAAACGCGGTATTGTAGCTCCCTTGACTGGTGCTACTCTTGATTTTGAACATAATAGCCGTGAACACCACTGCTCATTCTGATCTTTACTTCGCACATAGATGCATGCACCATAAGCTTCTTCAGAAGCGTCACAAAACCCATGCACCTCAATATGATCGCTCATGACTGGCTTGCATTTCCTAGGAATCGTTAACGCTCCGAGTTCCTCGAACTGTTTGTAGAATCGGAGCCACTTCTCTCTTATTTCGTCCGGAATTGGTTGGTCCCAATCTATCTTTATTTGCCACAGTTGTTGCAGGAATATTTTACCTTTAGTGAGTACAGGTGTCAAAAAACCAAGAGGATCAAAAATCCTGTTAAGATCAGATAACAATATTCTTTTTGTACATCTTGGACTTTTAGCTGGCATTATAGCTTGATATCCAAGCACATCCTGCGTTGGCTTCCAACATAAACCAAGAGATTTTACTATCTCATCTGCTTCTATTTTGATTATGAATAATGGTTCATTTTCGGCTGCTTCTACGCTTTTGAGTATCTCGACTGAATTAGAGCACCATTTTCTGAGCGGTAGTTTGGCTGACTCTAAAACCATGCTGATTTGCGACTGTAACATCTTGCATTCATCTATAGTCTCAGCTCCAGTCATAAGGTCGTCCATATAAAAGTCTCTACGTATTGCCTTCGCTGCCTTAGGAAATCTTAGCTTTTCTGCTTCAGCCAGCGATGCGAGACACTGAGTCGCCATAAAGGATGCTGAAGTAGTACCATAAGTGACTGTTGCTAGTCTATAGATGCGAAGTACCTCGCTTGGTCTCTCCCGCCATACTATACGCTGCAAGTCTTGATCTTCCTTGGAAACTCCCACTTGCCGAAACATCTTCTCTACATCAGCAGTTATAACATACTGATGCGTTCGAAACCGTATCAATATGCTGAATAGCTCTTCTTGTACTGTGGGCCCACACATAAGGACATCATTAAGCGAGACTCCAGTTGAGCTTTTGGCCGACCCATCAAAAACTACTCGTAACTTCGTTGTTAAACTTGACAACTTTACAACTGGGTGGTGAGGTAAATAAAAGAGGTTATTGGTTACCGGTTCACTGTTGTTTACCTCGTGCATATGACCTGCGCTTTCATACTCCTTCATAAAGCTGACATATGCTTCTCTCAAGGATTCATCCTGCTGTAGTCTACGTTCCACGCTTAAAAACCTTGATGTTGCCATCCTCAGAGAATCTCCTAAATTCGTAACTTCGGCTTTTAATGGTAACCGTAGCACGAATCTACCATCTTGGTCGCGTTTTGCAGTTTCTTGAAAGTGTCTTGCTGCTTCCCTTTCTTCCAGACTCCTTTTGTTCGCTTTAGACAAATCATTGGAATTAACGTCTTTGCTGTTTTCTATGGCAATCCATC